TTTGTGGGGGCTTTCTCATCCGCTCAATTGCTCAGACAGTGCTGGCTAGGCTTGACTTCCTCCGCTATTATCGCGGTTTGGCTTCATAGTCGTTATTCCTCACAACTGCGCAGATGTTAAGTTGCCCAAATAGCAACCGAAATGGTTAAAATGCAAGATTTTAGACTTCCAGCAGCGTTTTCCGGTTGGTGCACGAAAGCACCCGATTCATACTCGTACGTAGTTCAACTACTGTACTCAAGTTACTGAAGTTTAACTACTTTTCTGAGTAGTTTAGTAACTTTCAATTACATTTTTTTTCGGCAATTAGTAGTTTACTTTAATTACTTTTTTTGAGTAACTTCTACTAAAGTTACAAATTACTTTCGAATTTCAGTGGTTGTTTTGCCCATCAACAAACGTTCCTGCACAAAGGAGATAAGATATTGGAAGATCAGCTGATATTTGCAAAGAGAGGGAAGCATGTGGCGTAAGAGGGGGGGGGGAGAAAACGATTCGGAGAGTCCGAAACCCCCCCCAAAATCCCCCCCCCCCCCCCCCCTGCAACAACACTGCTACGAGGCGCAGGGAGCGAACGGACACGACGCAAGAAAGGCCGAATAACTGCGGGATTAGCGCCGAAGACTGGCGTTTCTCTGTGTCCCGAAGCTCAAGGAGACTTGACGCTTTTGAAGAAAGGGCTGGTCTCTGCTTCTCCCCAACGTAGAAACTCTGGCGCACTACAGGAAATGCATACACTGCATCCTCACTCAAAGGAGGCAACAAAATGCAGCACCTGCTCTGAAACTCATTTTGTTCTTCCGTAGTTTGTGCTGTACTCGAAGAATCGCGTTCAAAAGGGCAACGCAAAGATTACCTTTTTGCGTTGCCTTTCCTCTTAAAACTCAGAACTTGCAGATTTTCAAAGATTCATAGATTGCTCGACAAACGTGTAGTAATTCCCCCAAAGTTTTTGTATAAAAAATAATAAACAATCAGTGTTGGGAAGTACTTTATGTACATGGTACTTAAAGTGCTACTGTTCAAAAAAATTGTACTTTAATTGAAGTAAATTCACTGAACATGTTCTGTTTTCCGTGGAAAGTAAAACTCCCGACTTCAATGTACATTCCCTGAACTTGAAAACGAAAAACATCGGTATCGTTGTGTGAAACCGCGCTCTTTCGAAACGTCATCTGGTCATTTCTCTCAGTGAAGTAATCGCGGCTGTAAGACCGATGAAAATAAGTGCCTTTAAGTTGATCTGATCAAATAGCTCGTCAGTGAAAGTAAAACAACTACTCTTCGGCAGTTAGACCATATACAATATTTGCTGCCATCTCCGTAAAAAACTGATGCACCTCCGATTACCCCTCAAGCAATGCATTCCAGTTAGAAAAACACTGTATAGGAAATGAAAGTTCATCATGAACGATTGTGTTAAAAGTGCTTGTACTTTACCTTGAAATATATTGTATTTATATACGGTTACTTCAAGTAAATTGCACCCGGTGTACTTACTACTTTACTTGAAGTACATAAGCTCTCATTTACTTTCTACTTTACTTTAAGTACTTCTTAGATGTACTTTACGCAACACTGTAAACAAGAAAACACTGTCTCAAAAATCAAGCTCAGACAGTGCTAAACCTCGAAGTAGAGATGACACATTCGCAGTACATCATTGAGCAAAAAAACAAGAAAGTACAAAACAAGTAGGCGCACAGAAGCAGAACCAGCTCCTAAAGCATTTCTGTGAAGAAAAAAAAACAAGCTGATTCATATTTGGCTAGCACAATTTCGCTAACGGATCAAAACATATGTACTTTCTTTTTACAATAAAAAAAGCATATAAGAGTAACTTCCAAAGTAACTTCAAAAGTAATTCGCTACTTTTTAACGGTAATTAGTAGTTTTCTCAATTACTCCCTATTTGAATAATTTCTACCCTACTCAAATTACTTTTGGCGTCAACAGTAACTTAATTACGTTTTTCGAGTAACTTGTACATGTCTGACCCGATGCCACACAGAACGCCCATTTTGAACCACTTTAAAAAGCCGCCCTTCCAGGAGCTTATGACGCGAATCCCCCGTATCAGGTGGCCGGGTCCTCCACATGACGGCAGGGACATTCCGCTTTTCACTAAAAACAGTAAGTGTGCACGAGAGGCTGTGTATACGGAATCATGCCGCACGCGGTACTGAAGTAAATAATAACTGGATAAAACTCTCCATTCTTCAGGCGTGCGCTATACACATTCACGTCTCCCCCCTTCCCCCCTTCCCCCCCCCCCCCCCCCCCACATTTAAAGTTAAAAAACATTTAAAGTGTGCGAAATGGATCCAAGCCTTAAGGCGACAGGACCCTGACGGAACGCCTTGGCAACTAACCGTGAACTCCCCTTTTGCAGGCTCCACTTCGTGGGAGGTTCGTAAACGTGCTGAATTCAGCGAAATTGTTTCTAACAAACCTCGGTTGCTCGCACGACGCGACACTGAAGTGACGACTGAGTGACTCCAAGTCGACGGTAAGAACCGATGCGGCGTCGGCGGTTTTTCCATCTCTGAAGGTACAAAGACGAACCAGGAAGTCTGTATCGTGGACAGTGGCTTTTGTTTATCCTCAAGGGTCGTCCTCAGCCATTTGGAAGAACCGTTGCATGCGAAACTACTTCAAAAAGACACGTTCAGAATGGCGAAAGTCGGAAAAGCATCACCAGAGAGCACACGTGAACACAGAGATGGCTCTGACACGGGCCGGGAGACACGTCGGGCGCTGGAGCGGACGAAGGAGCGACGGTCTGAGAGCCCCCGAAACTGCTTCGAGCGATTGCCGCGAGGGCGCGCCACGATCGTGATCAAACTCTGAAAAACTTTCTCTGAGCCGAGTTTGATCAATCAAGATCCTGTGCGCACATTCGGCGCTTGTCGCGTGCATTCTTTCTGCCGGACGCTGACCTGCTGAGTCGGTCACGGCGATCTCCTGGCACTCCGAGGAGAAACATTTTTTTCCCCGTTTTTCCTGAAGCGATCACTGGTCGTTTCTTCTCAGTGGCATCGCAAGCTCGTGACTTTGATCTGCTTTTCGCAGCCATAGGAGACTTTACTTTCAAACTTATATCTTTTCTGCGTCTACTGTTTTTGCTAAAACAGCTGTAGTTGCGAAGTGTCGGACCGTGTGCACTGCCACAAGTGACAGAACTGAATTCCACGCACTACAGAAACAGAGTCCCACTCCTTTTCTTTCATTTCCCTGAACGCTTTGACGCAAGCTTTCGGAGGTGGATTAGTTTCACGTTCGGCAGTTTAGTGTTCAGTGGGGTAACCATCACTGACGCCGACTTGATCACCAACGACGTGGGCCGTCGGAGGTTGTACAACGTTGCCTAGTGCTTGACACGACCCCCGATTCCGTCGCAGGAACTCTTGCTATGTCTAGTTGCGGACACAATTCACTTCGCAGGCGTGGACCTGCTCTGCAGCTCGTGTAGTGGATATTTGTTCTTACGTGGCTCGCTGCACCATCACTAACGTAGGTCACATGATCATACCCAGATTGGATTTCACGATTCTCCAAACCGTTGTCATATAAATTAAGTTACAGACAATCGCTATAGATCTGAATCATTATTTTTGCAATATATTTTTGTGTCTTTTTTTCTTTTTTTGCGTTGTGCGGCTTTTACGGCAGCAGATCTACTGGCGCTGACAGGCGGCGCAGGCTCAGGCTCTGCCGCGCCCTAACTCCTATATCATGTTAGCGCCAAGGTTGTAGGTTGATCCGTTCGCAAAGTCGCTGCGGTTGCTTCCTTTTACATCGCGTAGACTGAGACGCTACGCTACACGCTGGCTGTTGAAACAGACACCGCGAAGCATGTAAAGGGTGGCGCCTCACGATCGCTCCTGCCCATGGGCATTTATGGTTCGGTTGTACGAAAACGTATTAGGAATTTCTCCTTCAAAACTACCGTCCACCTCTGTCCTGACCACCCCCTAGCATTTTCACACTTTTTAATATAATAAACTCTGAAGAATGAGTATGTGCACGCACCATTTATAGAAACCGCGTTATCCTCAGTCAGGCAATATTTCTCGCTTTATAACTTCAAAACCACACAAATAATCCATCATGTTCTTGCAGATTCTGTTAGTACATATCATAAACGTTAATTTCGGAGAATTTAAATAATATTAAAGATGGCCTTTTTTTCAAACGATTTTCAAAATAATGGGTATTTAGTTAAATGCCCCTGTGTGAGCAATTCGTGTAAATTTCTCTCGCTAACCAGGACAACAATATTTAATGCACAGATGAACTATTCCCAGGGCAACACACTGGCAAAGTTTTAAGACCTTAGCTTTTATAGATACGGAGAAAAACAATCTTTAATCCAGAGCATTACTGCACAATTGCCGTATTTGCGATTTTGTTTCTCAAAATAGCGACCCTTATAGTCGGTGATTAATACTCTTTGTCAATCCTCCCTATGCCTAATTTGTCAGTACTATTTCTAGACCCGTAGCCAAAACAGTTTTCTTCTTCTTTTTTTTTTTTTGGGGGGGGGGGGGGGTGGGGGGGGGGGGGGAAGCCGCCCAAAATGCCAACATCGCGCAATACGCACAACGCGCACGTGACTGACAGGGTACTTACGTTTTTCTTCTTCTTTTTTCTTTTTTTTGGCAAGGACAATGGTTTTTTTTTTTTTTTGTTTTTTTAAGCAAGAATTGGTTTTATGTTTTCGGGCATAGAGCCAGCAAAATATGTTTTTGATAAAAATTAAAAATGGTCACAGGTGTTGGTTGTTCGATCTTATCTGAAAACGCCCAATAGCATCTTCCAAGATAATGCATCTTTCAAGAACGCACCTTCCAACATAGCATCTTTCAAGATGCCATTTTTCAGGAGTTTCAAACGTTCGAAATAAACTTTCCAAAAATTATGGCATGTGCCCAGGGTCTCAAGGACATTTTCCAAGCGCTGAAAAGTAGCAGCTTCCGGGGGCACGCGTGTGTACTCACGGAGGTAGTACAGCCACTCCTTGAAGGCCAGGCCCAAGATGACCATCTGAGCGACTTGGAAGCAGGATCCGACCACGGCCATGGCCGGGTCTGTCAACTTGAGCACTCGGGTGAAGAGGAAGATGATGGGCATGTTCAGCACGCCGGACACGACGGCCGTCAGCGAGTTGATCTTGGCGTAGTAGTCCACGCTCCAGGAGTACATCTTCCGAACGAAGAAGTAGCCGATGCTCATGGCTGCACGGGGTTAAGTTTCAAAAAGGAGTCAATGGTAAGTTCCTGGTATGGACGCTCGTTCAGCGGGGAGTTACTCCGCCCTGAAATGTGGCGGCCCGTGTTTCTTGTGTCCTTTCTCTTACCCTAACATGAGCTGAGCAAAAGGTTCACAAGCGCGAGCAGGTAAAGTCCTGTTCGCACATAGAGCGCAGCGTCGAATAGGCGCTGAAAAGAAAAAAAAACGGCGATGCGTCGCTGATGTAGCGAGTTGTCGGTTTAGCACCGATGCAATGGCGTTGTATCGCCGTTCGTCAGTGTGGAACAGCACGTGAAAAATTATGTGAATTCCAGCGCCAATTTGGCGCTGCGCTCTATGTGTGAACCGGCCTTTACTTTGATTGTATCTCCCGCTGCGCGACCGATCGTACAGCCAAGGCGCAATTGAAAGCAAATAGCCAATTTGATAATAACCACCTCCGTAGATAGTATCAATGCCTCATCGTAATATTAAAACAAAAAATGCATCGTGAAAATTATTTTCTAGCGTGAGAAAGAGCCTGTTAAAATTTTGCGTCAGTTTCATCGATTAACATCTGCGCAATTGGCCGATCAGCGCGCGAAACGCTGATAGTTAGGGTCGCGAACTGATTCGCCGATCATAAGAATGTTGTTCGATAAAACTGACATACTTTTCCATTTCACAGGGTTGCAACCCTTTGTCCATCTCAATAATTTCATAAACTTATTCGTTGCGAGACCTCTGCACTTAAGTTCAAGGGTGAAAGCTGTTCATCAAAAAATGTCACAGCGTATTTGTGCGTAGTGATAATTCACACAAAGCTCCTTTGTGTCTGACCTTTCACCGCTTATAAAACACAACAAAACCTTGAGTCTATAAATGCAGTCGTCATAAAAGCGCGTTTTCCAGCTTGTCATTAAAAAAATACGATTTGATAAGGTTAGAAAAGAAGAGGGTTCATTTCCGTTAGAAAGCGATCATTAACTTTGCATTACTCATAGTTCGTCGTTCTCCATAGGTCATATCGCTCTGCAAACGAGTAAAAAACAAAAATAAAAATACGCATCCGGTTTGCACACTGCTAAAGGTGCTTTAAAATGCTGAGATCAATAGAGACACTGAAAATGTGAAATCCAGAAACCGGCAAAATAAGACACCGATTAAGGCAGCGGTCACACTGAAGCGCTACTAAGTCATGTACAAAACTTAAGTTATTCGTCGTATGGACATCTAAAAACAAATATTTGTAGAGAAAAACAGAACTCCTATTTCTACCCGAAAAAAATCCGAATATAGATTTGTCCGTCAAAAAACGCTCAAATAAAGGCGCTCCCGAACAAACATTGAGAAATCGGTTACGACACCGTAGCAATTTCTACGCGGTTTTAGGCGCGATTCTTGTGGCTCGCAAGTTAGCTTGCTGCCACTAAATGCAACATAGTATAACCATACGCAAATCTAGTGACATTAGACTGGACTGCGGGAACTTCGGTATAATTGCTGAAAATCTTGTTGCCGGATTTTCGTTCGAAATTAGGGGCGGACCTTGAAAAAAACCATTGAATCTGGTACGACAGAAGACACAATGTAAGCTAACCTGAGACTAGAAAAACAAAACTGTACTACAAAGCAAAGGGATAAAAATCATGGAGACACCGTTTTCTCCTCTTCCACTTCAAATTTGTTTTAATTTCCTTACTCCAACCTCAGGTTTACTTTCATTCCGGTAACCTTCCCCCAGCTCGCCCGCACTCCAGCTGTCTTTCTGCTGATACGAGCCCCTTAATTCTTAAAAATAAAGTCCCAACGACTCGTGGAATTCTTGTAGTTTTTAGATGAAATGCAGAGAGATAATTGCTCAATTGACGCCTTCAACGTGAAACGTGAACAACGAGGACCGCAATCTTAGACAGATTTTTAGTATTTCTGTACCTGCCTGATATGTGTACTGATGTCTCAAAGCAGATTATTAATCGTTATCTTAACGAGTGAAATTGTAATATTTGGATAGTATAAATTTCTAACTACTAAATATTATGGCGTAATCCATACGAACCCCCACACGTTAAACACTGCGCGTATTCACTGACTCATGCGCGAGCCAAAAAAAAACGCCACGCGCGCAAACCTGCGCAAGAAGAAATATCGGCGACTTCTGCAAAATCAGCTATACCTAGCTGCTAGGCCAGAAAGCTATAGTGGCAGCTTGGAACGCCAGATCTCTCGGGCGAATCACACAATCACAGCGCCTTGCAGTCGAAAGACAAAGTTGTGAAACTAGGTAGAAAAATTATACAAGCTTCATCATGCTGGCGAAGACTGGTAAACACAGTGTGTGACAGGTCTTCCACTTATTGGCGTTCGTCTGCGGGGTCCCTGCTGAAAGCTTTTCCTGCTGCTGCTGCCGTATCCTACGTTCTCGATCATCTCGCCTCTCTTCTTCCAACCTGGTTACGGTGAAAGAAGAGAGGCGTATGGACGGCACCGCCTTGCTGCAAATCAAGTGTGTCGAAGATTCACTTCCATTTCTGGAAAACGCCGTGAGATGGCGCGGCATGACGTGTCCGCGCCCTTTCAAACCCGCGAGACGCGCGGCGTTCGAAGCACACTACGTGTCGAGCGCAAACGCCGCTTCTCGCTAGCTCAGTCGCTAAAGCACTTGGCTCGCAATCTCAAGCTAGTAAGCTAAAATCCAGCCGAAGGATTGAAATATTTTTATATGGTTCCCCGTGAACTTAACGCTTTCGTGTCGTTTTCACGTTACAGTCAAACCTTACACCCGAAATTTTAATGATCTGAATGAAAATCGGCTACAAGCTGTGCTACAATACGTGATGAAAATAGTCAATACTTACTCGCAATGTCGAATACCGTGCAGCACAGAGCACCAAACAGGCACCACAGCTGAGACTTCCCTTTGTTGGGCCGTGGCTTGAGACACGCCTTGAGACCGTCGGAAAGATTGTCCAACTGAAACAGGTTCCTAACCCTCTTTCGGAAACCGTCCTCCGCGTGTTCGGGCCTCACCAAGTGTCCGATGGCTAAGATGGCCCACAGCTGCGCTACAACCGCTATGCCCAGAGACACATACATCACCATCTTCCAGCCATACTTAGCGTACAGCTGCCCACCCAAGTTTCCGGCAAGCGGCGAACTCATGGTCAGGGACAAGCTCAAAGCGAAGAACCTGATCCTCCTGTCCTTGTTGGCAGTCGTCACCGTGGCTTGACTGTAGATGGCCGTGAAAACAGAGATCAACCCTCCGCAGAGACCATCGGGTATCGAGGCTATGACGTTGGCGTAGAGCGGCAACTCCATGCGGTAGATTGTGCCCAGGGTCATACAAGCACTGATCATATAACCCACGTTGGCCACAAGCAGGGGAACCTTGTACCCGTACTTGTCGCACCAGGGCCCGATGAAGATCGCGATGACGGCTGACGGCGCCAGCGCCACCACCACCCTGTACATGCTGAAGACACTCGCCACCTTCTCGGTGTTGTCCTTCTCTAAACTGTAGTCGTCTATGTGGTCGCAAATGGAGGCGTTCAAATGCAGCGTGTTTCGGCAAGCCTTCTGGATGAGGAGGTCCTGAATAGGCGTCGACGTCATGAAGCGGGAGACTAGGTAGAGCATTAGAAATATCTCCAGGCGGATGATGAGGATGACCTTCCAGACTTTTCCGCAGAAGGACTGCCGGTCGACCACCATCACGCTGGGGTCATTGATGACACCGTCGCCGGGAGTAGGGTTAAGGATGCCGACGTGTTCGTGACTAGAGGTGTCCAATACCGCAGGGAGGGACTTGCCAGTGTCCTGTTTGTTCTCGGCGGAGGCTCGCCCATCGTGTGCGCGTTCTTGATCCATCTGGATCGTTGGCTGGGGGTTGGAGTGGTAGACAATTCTGTCCGCTGAAGTGTCGGTCTGCAAGACAAAAAATAAAACAACAATAATAAAGCTCGACTGAACTTTTCACTACTCCAAGCATTTTGTTGATTGAAACTTCGGGCAGATTGGTGAAAAAAGGGAGGTCAGCATGCGAAACCTACAATGGAATTATTCAAATATCTGAAATACTCGCAAACATTGAAGGCCTTAAGCCGCAATCCCGTTGCTAATGCATATTACATAAGACAGTCTGCAGATACAGTGAAGCATTCTTGTATGACGATCCTGACGCAATAAATACACAAAAACTGCCAGCAGACAAGAATATTTATTATGATCGTGTTCACTCCTTTCAATCCAATAGACAAAAACTTCGATTCGCCTGAATTGGCTGAAGTAGTCAGCAGTGCAGGAACTGGCGCATTCGATTCAACCGGAAGTTGCACGGCCGCTGCACTGGCGCGTTCGATTCATCCCAGTTCTGAACGAGTTCACACCCAGTTCTTCAAAAACTTTGCAGCGGCTCCGGAGTAAGTTCAGCATCCGAGCAGAAGCAGTCGATGAGAGCAGACGACACTCCTTGTCCGTCTTTGCTCGCGGTACTATTTCTTGGAGCTCTTGCTCAAATGTCTGCGAGGTTTAGCAGTAACGCTGAGACGGAGGTTACATTCCCTTTCATTGATGAAAATAATGTACCGTAGTGGACGCGGAATCGAGATCCTAACCGAGGGTAGTAACTTGCCCAATTATGATATTCTGAAAGCGTTTTACGCACCTGCTCGCGCAGGTTTAGCTCCCTCTGGTAAGCGTCGAAAGAGTGGCCCACCTAAATTGTTCCTTTATGATGATACGCTGTACTAGGTTCCTATTCTCATTAAAAGACACAGGAAAAGCACCACTCTTGATAGCGCCACCTTCAGTAGCTCTTGGATGCAGACTGACGATCCTGATACATAGGAGATGTCTGGGATTTACTACATTGGCACTCACATGCACTGTAGTTCAGCATAATACTGCACGGTTTATCCGCTGGTACCTGCGGCCGCCCACTGAAGCGGCTGAGAAAAAAACACCCAGAATCGGCATTGGCTTGGTAGTTACTCACGAATCTTTTTTGGGAATCAGAATCAACGCTTCAACTTGACGTCAACGTGAAGGTCGATAAATGTTTTGGCAAGACGCCCTTGTCAGGCTTTTGTCTTCGAAGTGACTGCCACCGCGCGCTGCTGCCAGTAACTTCCGACGCGAAAGCTTCCTTAGGTAGCGAACCTATCGTCGAAATGCGAAACTCGAGAGTCTTGGAATTAATCTACTGTTGCTAAATGAATGCGAATAACACAAAAACCTATGGAAACGATAAGAACCAGAAGGCCGTTCAAAACGCAAACAAACTCATTTTGTGCAGAAAATGATTTTAGTACACTCGAATCAAGAATCATTCACAGACAAGATTCCGTTTATTAACTTTAAAATTAAGGAAACGCGAATGGCCTCATCAAACCGCAAAGAATTAGATGAAACAAGAGCCGACAGATGTAGATGACACTCTGGGCCTCCGCTGCGGAAGCCGATCACAGCGCCAATCCTAACGCGGTGGCTGCACTGGTTCTGCGCCGCCGCTGCACGACTCATGCACTCCTCGGAACTCGGACAGAACTTGATCAAAACTTTCTGGCCCAATCAAGCAGAATCGAACAGACCTAAAGCCTCGATGTCAAAAGTCTGCATTGGACTCCTAGATATAAAAACTGTAACTCTATTAATTAAGCCCTGGCCATGCACGTGTAAAGAAAAGTACGAGCACTTCCACATTAAGCTGAGCCGCTCAACCTGCGTGACAGCGCTGCCAAGCCCTGTCAGCTCAATTGCTTTTCCACGTGCTGGGCTACCTACAGTGACAGTGGCGTCACGGAGCGGATGCACAGGCATTTATTTCTAGGTGTCGATGATACCCTTCTTGTAAGCCCCCGATTTGCCAGAAAACCAACCCCTAACCCAGCCACTGTCCCTCTCTCCCACCACAAAAAGTCGGTGCACTTCGCCCGATATCAAAGCAACAAATGGGCGTAAACGTTGCAGCATCTTTCGATAGGTGCTGACATCCAATCAGAGCATCACGTTGCTGCGACGGCGCGCAAAGCGTGTTAATTGGCAAAGCGCGCTGACTTCTTGCGGGGCGAGGAGTGTACGGGCTTTCAGATTAACGAATTTTGTAGCGTGAGCTACACTGGCCGAGGTTGAGCAGTTTCGCGTGGCTCCCAAAGAGCCGTGCTGCGCATGCGCGAGGAGCAGTGACGTCACACGGCGCACAGCTGGCGCGCCGGAGCCGCCGCCGCGCGCGCTTCGCCGGTCTTCGCATTCCAGAGGAGTGACGTCATAGCCGCGGCAGACGCACTGACGCCGCCGCGTGCCCAGCTGTGCGCCTCCGTTGCGCAGTAGCCAAGTCTGACGCTGCACCGGAGCCGCTTGATGGCGCCTCTCATTTTGTGCGCATAAGCTTAGGCTACATATATGCTGGCATAACCGAGCTAAGCCACCGCAATTTTTTTTACTGTACCTCGTTTCCCCCTGTGGCCCTAAACTCGTCAAACACGAAGTTGGAGCCAAAAGTTCGAATGGGCGTCGGAGACAAAAGCGCGAAGTCATCGTCGTGATGCTACAGTCGGTGCTCTCCGTCAACTTCCGCCCCGAATTTGTGTTTGACGAGTTTAAAGCCCCTGAAGTGCGAGCGCAGCTGACAGTTACGAGTCAATAACAAATCCAGCGGCGACTAAAATGCAACGTCATGGCGTTCGCCGTCCTATTCGGCGGCACATCCAATCAAGTGCACGTCGTGACTTTGCGCTTTTGGTCTCTGTGTGTATGCGCTTCTTTGTCTTTTAGGCTTTGACCACGCTCGAACTGAAGGGTAGGCTGATGAGGTTCTTGAGGAAGAAAAAAGAGAAATTCTAGCGTGTTTTTGTCCCGTGAATTTGAATATCACAAGAATCTGGCTGTAATGTATCAATAGATGCGAGAAAAAGTGAGAAACCAAACGATGGGTCTGACGTCACACCCAGAGGTTTTAACACTCGTGAGGGAATGAGTGCAACGTTTATGATTGCTCAGGTAAGGCACGCGGATGGCGCAGAAAATATGAGATATTTGTATAATAAGTCACAATGCTCTCCTCCTACCGAACTCGCCGGGAAGGAGGGACGTTAGCGCTGTTTTCAAATTCCTGCAGTTGCCGCTTTGCGCATCATCCTGAAACATAATTTTTGATATTCGTTATATTGGAGGCTAACTGAAGAATATTTAGGCGCTTTTTCTCAAGCACAGAACCGCTTCAATTCCCCATTAAATTAAGGTGAAACGAATAATTTAAATTACATTCCGCTCCGTTTGTTTGAATGAGACAGCGCACGTACATCGCCTAATCCTTCCCTGGAGGTGCCGCGAATGAGACCGCGAGCGCATCGAGCGGACCACGATGTCACGCGGCACCGACGGCGAAGGCTGCCAACGACGCACCGACATACCGGGTTCTCCGAGACAACCAAGACTGCCGTCTTGACTGGCGCTCGAAAAACTCACGACGACAGGTGGCGGGAACCCACTTGAAAGAGGAAATCCCCGGGAGGGCGCATCAGCAGTTCCGACCACGCAAAACGACAGCGCCAAAACCATTGGGTTCTCGCGGAATGAGATGTAGTTATTCGGCTAGTAAAATAGCTGACGTTAGCTCCGTCAATTTTAGATTGGACTCATAAGAGCGCGGTGCACAACAACAACAAAAAAAACAATCAACTCGTGATTCCGAACAAGTGACCTCAGTTCTGAGCCGCTCCGGTGACGAAGGATTCGCGACTCTAGCGAAATCGACGCCGCGTAGCGGTAGCGCCGAGAAACTCAGGAGAAGAGGTCGTCTAGACTCTGTCGTCTGCTATCGTTGCTTGGTTCTCGTAGGCAGCATAGAAACAAACATCGTTTCCAGTAATTATTTTTATGATTCCGCCGTGTCATTCCTACACACTGACTAGAAGAAGGTTTCTATCGTCGAAAAATCGCTTTGCTTTCAAATGTAACACTGATTTTACGCTGCTGTGCAGGAATTTGTGGTGGTCCGCGTGCTGAACGACGAAAACGACCTCCTCTCGTCCGCTGTTTTGCCTGAGCGGCGCACCCTCTATAGTTCGCTGGAGTCGCGAATGCTGCGCTCAACAAACTTATACGGAGCACTCGGAACTGTATATTTTATAATTGGAGCGCTATTTTGGCGGTAGGTAAAAAAACGCTGAAATAGCGGCTTTGACCGAGAACAACACAAGTTTGCCAGCCAAGCGATTTACGCTTTTCACCATCCCTTCCCTCTCGAGTCCAGCAGCAGTTTCGGCCTCAAGGAAATGGCCTCCCTCCCGTATTCGGGCTGTTCCATTGCCTGCTGCGTCATGAATCAGTTCGTCACCACGCTCCCAGCAGACAAGACACAATTGGCGTGTTCCGGACATAAAGTTATAACAATAAACGCCCAAGGATCAGCCAGCGCTAGTGTCTACGGGACTTCCGGTTACAAATTGAAGCAGACAGAAACCAGTCTACTTTTCCAGTCTTTCTCCGCGCAAGCCGGCCGTGTCGCGGCGGTCGCCTATTGTTCGCCGCGACCTGGCGGTAGCCGCCGCAGGAGCATCGGGCAGCAATGGCGACGAACAGCACGGCGGACAGCGTCCCCGTCGTGATTACGACGGAATTTAAGGCAGTTACGAGTTCGGAAAGTTCCTTCGGAAGCCGGTGCCGCCGGCTCAGAATCATCGCGAAGTAATAGTAACGGACAGCACAGAGGACAGTGGGCGACTACGAATCCGGAAAGCTTCTTCGGTAGCCGGTGCAGAATCATCGGGGGGAAGCAGTGGCGATTAGCAGCACAGCGGACAGTGTTCCCGGGGTGATTACGACGGGGTTTAAGGCGGTTACGAATCCAGAAAGCTTCTTCCGTGGTGCCAATATTACGAAGAGAAAACTTTTTCATGAATCTGGCCGCGTGTACGACGTGAAGG